AGATTGAGTTGTGGTTTTTAGATTGTTCTATGTTACAAAGAACTTTGTAGTGATTATATTTATAATTTTTAGGGTTTGAAAAACTGCCTACCAATTAAATTGTTAAATCAGTCTAGACTCATATTCTAATTGCCTTTTGACCATTTCATTCATAAGCTCCAACCAGGAAGTAAGCCAGGAGGAGTTTAAAATAAAGAAATAAATTTACTTAGGATGCAGAATTTCAAGCTAGATGAACCTTTCAATTCAAGATCATCCATTTCAACTTCTCTGTCTACATCTTAGTTAAGTGAGGTTCAGCTTTTTAAGACTTATATGTGAGAGAGTCACTTTTTGAGCTCAGGTCTTTTAATTCTCAGTTCATAATAAACTGCTTCTGTGACCTGAACACCCAAAGAAAGTAGTGGAATAATGTTTGGCTGTCAGACATCTAAGAAATGGTAATAGCCGTGCTTTAGCATTTGTAGCATGGTAAGTAAATCTACTTCCCATGATTACTGAGACTTCATTACTTCGGTATTAAAATTATGTAGATGTCTTAGAAGAGGCCAGTGTTCCTAAGTAGACGTTATGTATTTTTTTTTTCTAATAGGCATTAATTTCACAATTTAAATTACAAACATCATAAAATACTTTTAAGTATAAAGAAACTTATAGGCTGCGTTGCCCAGTGATAATTTCTTGGTAAAATAAATATATCCTGTTTTGCTGTCAGCTTTATAATTCACACAGTATACACAGTTTCAGGATAATTTTTAATTTTAATTTTTTTTATTTTAATCACCCAGTACTCATGGCAAGTGCCCTCCTTAATCCCCGTCACCTATTTCACCCATCCCTCCACCTACCTCCCTTGTGGTAACCATTTCTTTATAGTTAAGAGTCTTTCTTGGTTTGTCTCTTTTCCCTTTGCTCCTCTGTTTTGTTTCTTAATGTGTCGGGGTATTTTTGTCCTGATTTAGATTTACAACTATAAGGAGGTAAGAGAGAAAAATATAGCTGACTTTGGACTACAAAGAATTAATACCATACATTCTGAATACAGGCAGTATCAGGGCAGAAAATGATTTCTTCATTTCTGATTTTTGAACTTTCATCAGAATTATGATCTATTAGTCACTGTATATAAAAAAGTGATTTAAGCTTCCTTTTAAAGACAGTTTTTACGTAGATCAATTTGAAGTTTTTCCCTTTTAAAAGTGATAATAAAGCCCAAGAATTTACAATAGGAATTTTATACTATCGTGGGCTATTAATAGGGATTTAAAGATTTTTTTTTAAGATTTTATTTAACACAGATCACAAGTAGGCAGGCAGGCAGAGGGAGAAGCAGGCTCCCTGCTGAACATGGAGCCTGATGCGGGGCTCGATCCCAGGACCCTGGGATCATGACCTGAGCCAAAGGCAGACGCTTAACCAACTGAGCCACCCAGGCGTCCCAGGAATTTAAAGATTTTCTTATAAATTGTTGACTTCTGGGGTGCCTGGGTGGCTCAGATGGTTAAGCATCTGCCTTTGGCCCAGGTCATGATCCCAGGATCCTGGGATCGAGCCCCACATCAAGCCCCACATCGGGCTCCTGACTCAGCGGGGAGACTGCTTCTCTTTCTCCCACTGCCTCTTTCCCTGCTCATGCTATCTCTGTGTCTCAAATGAATAAAATCTTTTAAAAAAATAGTTGACTTCTAACACCTCTTTTTTCCCCTGCATTACGTTACTTCTATCAAATCTATTACCAAAAAGCTTGATGAAACCAGGAAGTAATACTATGCTGGAGCTGAAATTCCTTGTTCTGAGCTGTGTTTTGGATGAGGTTTACTGATGTTTATTTTTTTATTTTTTTTTTTAAGATTTTATTTATTTGAGAGAGAGAGAATGAGAGAGAGAGAAAGCACATGGGGGGGGAGGGTCAGAGGGAGAAGCAGACTCCCTGCTGAGCAGGGAGCCTGATGGCGGGACTCGATCCAGGAACTCCTGGATCATGACCTGAGCTGAAGGCAGTCGCTTAACCAACTGAGCCACCCAGGCACCCAAGGTTTACTGATGTTTAAAGATGAATAGGAAATTAATTCCCTAGTGTATATGTGTCTAATTTCTACTTCTGTTTCCACTTTAATGAGAAGAAAATCATATTGTCTAAATTTTCTTGTATAAAGTTTTAAAAAGTTATTAGCACTGCTTATTAAAGGAGTCAGAAAGGGAGGAACCAAACATTTATTGAATGTATTCAACAAGCCAGTTTCTGTGCATTACATTTGAAGAGCGTAAGATTGGTCAAGATTTTAATCCCACTGCTTTTGAGTTTATAAAAATGGAGTCTTAAAGGAGTGACCACAAATATTTCTAGTGAGTAGAAGAAGGGGGAAAGGATTTTATTTCTGCATGAGGTAGTGAGATACAGAGCTGGAAAATTCTTCAGATTTTGAGTGAAACTATTGCCCCTGGTATTCATTCAATGAGAACTTTCAGAGAAGCAGGAAGTTCTCTGTATCAATTCCTAACGTTCAATAACCCTCACTGCCTATTTTTTTCAGCTCCTGCTTCCAAACCACAGAGCGGTTGTAGAATAAGTTATAGGCCCCTGTAGCCCTTTTGCTCATAGCCTTTTTGCAACTGTTCCTCATCACCTTTATTCATCACTAGACACTTTGGTGAAATCCGCACAGTGATTCCATTTCCTGTATCTCATTCTCACAAGATGATCTCACTTGTTTTATGGGGAAGACAGTAGGTTGAGAATTCCCTCAAATTCTACCTTTGTAGATGAGAGCTGAAATCCTTAGAAGTCTTAAAAGTTAACACCTTGATCTACTTTTCTTCCAGCCTCTCTTTACCTAGGACTTGTTCTTAAGTATATATAGCATCTTCATTTCTCCTCCTATCCACAGGCTTTTCTTTTGGACTTCAAATACCTATAGATTTGTCTACCCTGTTCTAAAAAAAAAAAATGTGTTTTTGTCTCCAACCAAGCCTTCTTTTTCATAGTAGTATATAACCTCTGCTGTGTTAGTACATAACTCATCTGTGTCTGCTTCCATTCATTCTTAGCTCCTATTAAAATACTCAGCTCTGGGGTATGGAAGGTAATTACAGAGTTTAATGTATTAATGACCTTAAAATGTAGTTTGGTAGACAAAGTAACATCAATCTATAAACTTGGTCAGAAGTTCAGAGACCAGGATTAGCATGGTATGTTGCAATTATGAGATACGTGTGTAGGTAGGTAGGAAGAATGAGGCCATATTATGGAGAACTTGTTAGAAGAATTTAGTGTAAATGTGGAAGGTAATAGGTAATCAAATTCAGATGACATAACGGTGCATTTTATAAAGGTATCTGGTAACTAGCATTGTAGCGTTAATATGGAATATGATTATGCTTTTAGTCAATGTAGTTGAAATATTTCTTAAAAAAATACAAAATGAGGTCCTGCTCTTAAATAGCTTAAAATCTTTCTGAGAAGAACAATTTAGAAAGAATAATGAAAAACATATTGGATAAGTTTTTTTGACCTGACACATCACTTGCCATTGCAGTGACCCATGCTCATCACAGACATTGATAATCGGTCATGGAATTTGCTGCTGAAGATCCTGGAATGTAGTATTAAGAGTTCATAGAACAACTCTCTGAGCAACTGTTACGAATCAACTTTGTCACTAAGATTAAATGTTTTTACAATCTCTTCCATCTAGGAGTTGGGGGAAGTGCTAATCAAAGTTTCATTGAAGAGTTGGGCTTTGAATGATAGGATCTCCAACCTTATTTTCTTTTGCTGGCTCATGAAATTTTTTGGCTTTGGCCTTAAATGTTCTCCACACGGACCATTATAAATCATACCTGGGTGTGTTCATGCTGATACTCCTCCCAATCTGGAATATTGCTCTCACCTTCCTACTATTGCCTATTTCATAGTCCTTCAGATTTTAGCCAAAACCATTCATCCATGATACAGATTGCTTTTCTCTGAATTCTGATAGCTTAACCCCACTACCTCTACTCAGCCTTTTTTTTATCCTCTAATTGGTATATTTGTCTGGATTATTAGATTGTAATCTCCTAGGAAATGGGGCCTGACAGCCTCTTTTATTTCCCACAAATACTAGTCGATTGACTGTAGGGGAATTTACATCATGTAGTAGGAATGGCTTAAATGTGTAAAAGAGTATGCTGGAGACTGGCTACAATGTAAATGAGGCCTAATTGGTTTAAAATGAAGTAGTGGCTTCCAGTTTTTCAGTAACAGTGATTTTGTTTCTTCCATTCTATTTCTAATTCCCACATTTAGATTATAGTCAGATCATTTTTTTCCCTCAATTTTCGTTCCAGACAAAAATTTTAGACTTTAATGCCGTTCATCCTGATTTGTTCAACAATAAAATCTTGCCTAAAGGACAGATACTATTTAAAATGTTTATTTTTGTTAAGATCTATTTTATAAAAGGGAGGACCCAAAACATATAACACTTTCAATGAGGATCATGAGTTTGGGAGCCAAGTTAGCACTTATTTTTCCCTCTGACAATAGTAGTTCATAAATCCACGTCTCCATCTAGATCACTTGGTGTATAGAATGACAGCAGTTGGGAAAACGTTTTATAGGTCGTATCCCAGGGTTCCCTCCTCTCATTGCCTATGTTTCTAGTAGCAACAGTGTTGAGAAGCCCTAATTTAATTCTTAATCTAATCCTCCGGTATTGAGGGAGGAAGGCAGAGGAAGTTTCTGTGAGGAGCGTTGTCTGAAAGATTTTTTAGTAGAGGCGTGTTAAAAATGATACTGGGAGTCTAGAGGACGGTGCTGCTCCAGATATATGAGTTCCGTTTTAATTTCGCTTGAAATCCTCGACGTGGGCGGAGGCGAGCGCCTGGATGTGCGGAGGGCCACTGCAGCCCTGCCCATCGAGGGAACCGTCCGGGGTCGGATTGCCCCTTTCCCCGCCCACCCATCAGTTCTGGCAGCGCATGCGCTGAGCCGCGGGCTGGAGAGTTGTCGGCTGGAAATGGCGGCCGCTGGCTTGGTTGCTGTGGCCACGGCTGCAGAGTACTCTGGCCAAGTAGCATCGGGAGGTAACCTCTCCGGTGTTAACTGCGGCCCAAGCTCCGGGACAGGCTCTGGTCCTGGCCCGGGTTCGTGGAGCCGCTCCCTCGATCGAGCGCTGGAGGAGGCGGCAGTGACCGGGGTGCTGAGCCTGAGCGGCCGGAAACTGAGGGAGTTTCCCCGGGGAGCGGCCAACCACGACCTGACGGACACCACCCGGGCGGGTGAGTGGGGCATGGGGCATCCCTGCAGAAGAGGAGCCTGGGGCGCGGCGGGAGGCCCCTCCAGCCGGTGGGAGGATTCGGGGGTAGTTCCAGCAACCGGTTCCATAGCTTCTGGTTGGGACCCGAGTAACGGGGAGAAGCCGACTGCCCCAACCCGGCCAGCCCCCCAGGCCTGCGGGCCAGACCCCGAGCCTAGGGCGAGGCGGCGGACTGCAGCATCTCTCGGGAAAGAGGACCGTAGGGATAGATGGGTAGTGTTTTACTCTCCTAGAAAATTTAACTTCTGCCGCTGCTGAGGTAGACCCTTGCCCCGCCCCGGTTTCTGCAGGCCCTTTCAGATTTGGGATGCCAACCTTGCTGAGATTTGGGATTGTAGCTCTCTCTTAATAGATCAGAGCAGCACTGGTCACTGCGTTGTCGGGGAAGTATTGATCTGAGCACTGACGTTTCTTCGAGAGTTGTTTTTAAGGTGAATCCTAGGCTGTAACTTTTCTTTCTCTGTCTTTATCTGGTTGACTTAGGAGAGTTAACTTGTGGAAATAACTGGAGCCAACCTTCAGACTCGCATTACTTTTCTCCTCATGCCCTCCCAGAAAAGTTGAGGGAAGAAAAGATACATATATTGCCTACCGTGTCTGTATTTAATGCTTTTTAAAAATAAACATTACTTTGTTTTATACATATTTTTGAACACAGGAAAGGTAATAAGGAATTGGGTATTATTTGGTTTTCTTAGTTGTAGAGAACAATGTCTGGTGACTGAGGCGTTCAACATAATATGTTTTTCTTGTGTTTAAAATATAGCTTCCTCAGGGAGTAGATTAAAAACTGAGTCTATTCATGTTTAACACAAAGGAGGAAAAAAAAAATCCCTTCATGTTTGTATAGTATGATGTAGTTAAGTATTTGATTTTGATATAGTTTTTTGCAATGAAAGAATGTATAGTACTTTGTGTCCTATATTTATTCCATTTTACTTTATTTTAAAATTTGTTTTAATAATTTTCTATGTGCACTTACTAAAGATTGATGAGTATTACATATGATTCACTTGTGTTAGAAAAATAAATGGAACTGTTAAACTACTTCAAGAAACTTCTTTCCGGAGAAACTTTCACTCTGGTGTAAAATGGAAGAAAGTAAATGTCTAATTATTTAATCTCTTTTTGGAAACAGTTGTACTGAAGATAGTTTGTATTTTTTAGTGAGTGTTATAAAAATTAAGCTTTCTTGCTAAGGTAAATATGAACAGCCACTTGCCTTTTGCGTATGTTCTGATAGACAACATCTAAAATTGTCAGTCATACTCCAGATTTCCTGTTCTGTTCAGGAGATGGCTATATGGCATATGATTGTTCAGGAGATGGGTAATATAGTGATTTTATATTGGTGTGAGTCATTTCAGTATTACTACATTAAGCCTGAAGCTAAAGAACAAGTTGATTACAGGAGTTTATCTGGTTCATTTCAAATAGTTCAAGGACTTTTGAATTAGCTTTCAAATAGTTCTAGGACTAACACGTTTTGCTTTTAAGAAATATTTTATTAACTAACAAAGAAAATCCAAAGCTATTTATGAAGAAAAATAACTAATCCCAATGAATTTTTCCCTTACTGTGCTCTGAATTAATTTTATTTTTAAAATTTTTTATTTTTTAGAGGGAGAGAGAATCTTAAGCAGGGTCCACACCCAGCATGGAGCCGACAGGCTCGATCTCACAACCCTGAAATCATGACCTGAGCCAAAATCAGGAGTTGGTTGCTTAACTTAACTGAGCCTCCCAGGCGCCCCTTAAATATTTTATTTTTAAATAATCTCTACACCCAATGTGGCCTCAAACTCACGACCTCTAGATCAAGAGTCACATGCTCTCCCGACTGGGGAGCCCGCCAGGTGCCCCTCTGATTATTTTAAACAGATAATTTAATGTGGATATCATCATTTATTGAGTATACAGTGTGCTATTCATTGTTAGGTGTTTTAAAATACATTCCCTTGTTAAATGCTCAAAACAACCAATGGACTAAGCATTATTATCCCCACTTTACATATGAAGAGGCACTGGGAATTTACAGATGAGGAATCACTCAGAGAAAGTCATATAACTAGTATAAGTGGTAGAATTTCAGCCCAGGTCCATCCAACTCTTTTCTCTCTGCTATGCCACATAGCCTCCCAATGTTCAGATAGATATTACTATTGCTGTTTTTACAGATAGTGAAATCAGGGTTTGGAGATATTAGATAATTTGCTCAAAGACCTGTAGCTAAAGGCCAGGAGAGGCAGTATTAGCCAGGATTTGAGCCTAGTTTGAGGTAACTCCAAAACCATAGTGTACCTGTAATATCAGGTACTTTGATGAATTCAGACACAACTTATGTTAGCTAGAATGTTTTGTTTAGATTCTTTAAAATTTAAAGCCAGGAAAATTATTTGAATATTTTATATATCTATATATAATATAGATAGATATTATAATATCTGTATTATAGATATGTGATATATATTATCTATATGTAATATATATATCTGATATATATGTATAATAGATATAGATATATATCAAAGTTGCCATGCAGTCTGTTCTCTCATAATGTATAGAATGTATCTGGTAGAGCTGCTGTCCTTCAAGAGTTTACATTCTAAGAAACAGCATATATTACCCATACCATTTATAATTTGACATGATTAGAATTCATCAGGAACATTTTCTTGAGGTTTTTCACTCTTGTTTGTTAAAAAAGGTAGATCTTTAGGAAAGGGGAAATATTTATTGGGGAATAGGTAACTTGATCCAGCGGACAAGGAAAATCTTAGAAGGAAATCATAGAAGACTTTTTGGGGCAGAAAGGATGTAGCTTGGATTTGGGTAGGCAGAAATAAGAAGGAAAGCCATTGTAGGCAGTGGTGGACAACATGCAAAAAATCCTAGAGTATATGGCACATAAGTTAATTTTGTCAGTCCATTACGCATTCCTCTTTCATTTGATAACAATACTCCAGTTTTCCTAGGAAATCACCCCTTTCAGTTTTATGGATGCCCTGCCCCAACACAAGGGTGTGCACGTGACTGAGGCAGGCCTCACCAATCTATGTAGCCCATCCTTCTGGCCACAGTGATTGTTCAGAGATGGGCACATTTCCAGTCGGCACACATGACTGTTAATTCTGAATTTTTTATTGGAGCTATTGAGAAAGAGGCATGCTTTGGACCCTGGGGTTGCTGAGAGAATACAGTGTGAGCCTGGAACTTACCAATAAATGGAAGGCAGAGCCAAAAGATAGAAAGAGTGAGACCAAGTTCTGATGATTGTGTTTGAACCTTTGGAACAATAGCCAGGCCTTAAGTTAGTGCTGTCCTTGAACTTTCAAATTATGCAAGCTAATAAATTCCCTTCTCTGCTTAATTTGAGCAGAATTTTTTGATACAAAATCAGGAGTCCTGACTAACACTGTGAGACTGCTCTTGATAATGTTGCGGTCAGGCCAGTTTGGTCAGAATAAATGGTTGGATTCGAGAGTATACTACCTTTTGTATATGTGGAAGCTAGATTGAGGATAGGTTTAGTGGGCTTGAGATAGGGAGACTAATCAACATTCATCTGCTGAACAAACATTTGTTAAGGAATTTGGCAGGTGCAGATATACAAAGAGGACCAACACTTTTCTGCCCTCAGAGAGCTCAAGGGATCTAATGGAGGAATAAATAAATAAATGTAAAGATTATTTGACTCATCTAGTAATAGCAAAACTTTTCTGTGTAAGGCATTATACTAGCTAATACAAAGGAAAAAAAGAAGAGGCTTTAACCTATAAGAATTAAGAAATCTAGTAATCTGGTTGGGTGGCTGCAATAATAATCTAAATCTCTGAAGGAATGAAAAATACAGATCATATTGGAAAATGAAAATGTACAAATGCTGATTGGACTTATTTTTTTTTTTAAAAAAGGACAGAATGCATCGAAAATGACTGAGTTGTTAAATCTGGAGAACTAGGAAGATGGTGATGCATTGATAATAATAGCTAACATTTATTGAGCTTTTAGCATATTTCAGGTGCTGTTTCAAGCTGTATGTGTAAAACATGCGCATACAGCAACGATATGAGTTGTAAGTACTATTTTAAACCCCATTTTACATTTGAAAAAATGGATACTCAGCATTAATTTGATCAAGGTTACACAGCTAATAAGTGATGATAAAACCGGGATTCGAATTCAGATACATCTAATCCTAAAACTGTTTTTTGATCACTAAGCCATACTGACAAAGAAGTTTGCTGCACATAATTTCTTTGGTTTGCTTGATACCTTTAAAGGGGTTGGTAGCCTATCTAGTTAATCCTGTGCAATGAATAGAAATGTAAATCTGGAGCTTTTTTTAAAAAAAATCTTTAAGTAAACTCTATGCCCCAACGTGGGGCTTGAACTCAGAACCCCGAGAAAGTTGCATGCTCTACCCACTGAGCCAGCCGGGTGCCCCTAAATCTGGAGCTTTAAGAGTGAAGTCCAGGGTACCCCATACATTTCAGAGACTCATAATGAAGAGTTTATGAGATTCTTAGAGAAACAGTACAGAGTGGAAAAGTTGGTCACTTGCAATCATGGGATACACCAGCATTTAAAAAGGCAAGAAGTAGAATCAGCCTGAGAAAAAAACCAGAAACAAAGTGCCATAACTAGGCCTTTAACAGAATTCAGAGACTCCTAAAGCCGAAGGAACCATAGTAACCATTTAAGTTATTTTACAAATGAGAAGCAGTCTCAGAGGTTAAATGATTTTTTTAAGGTTATATGGTGAGATGGTGCTGTTTCACATAAGGCAAATAGGGGTCATAGTTGAAGCTGTGAGAAATCTCTTCTGAGTAGAAGACAGAAAAGAAGAAATTAAGGACTCAGCTTTGGGGAAAAGCCTATAGTGGAAGGCAGGAGATGAGAGGCAATCTCAGAGGTTAAATGATGTTTTTAAGGTTATATGGTGAGATGGTGCTGTTTCAC